CCCCCAAAACCCCAAAACCCCAAAACCCCACGCAAGATATGAATAGTTGAAACTTAAAATTAGAGTCTGAAAATCACATCCTGATCTATATACATTCCATCAATAGCTTCGGAATACTTGTCAAGAGTAAGTCTTCTCCTTCGCTTCAGGGTCAGAGTGAGCTCCCCTCCTTCAAAGCTAGAATCAGTGAGGAGTACTCTAAACTTCTTGATACTCTGGGCCATTGATTGGGCAACTTGTAGATCTGATTAATAATTGTTTGAAGGTACTCCATAACCTTCTTATATCTGATAGTATCTAAGTAGTGTGAACTCCGAGGTGCTCTTCAAGGAAGGTCTTGACAAAGTTAGTCAGATTGTTTGTAGGAAAATTCCTTCCATTAGTGGTGTGTACCTCTACCTTGAAAGTTAGCAAAGCTGTTAGATACTTTCATCTCCAAAAGCCATCATGCAGATATTCTTAAAGTAGTCTTCCATCAACATAGCAGTTACATTCTCACCGCCAGTGGTGATGATGAGCTCCTTGATCCTTCCGGTTATCCTGACTAAGCCATAATTTTTGAAGGTGGCAATGCCATCAGAATTACTTAACCATCAACGTTAAGGGTCTCTTTAGTCTTCTCTTCATTGTTAAGACATCCAATAAAATCATTTAAACCTCTGAAGCAGTTCTTTCCTTCATTTTCTATTTCACCAGCGGTCTTGTTCCTAGTATCAATCTTGGTATAAGTTTCTTCGATATGGGATCCTACAGATTCTTCAGCAAATTTGGAAGGTTTACCTGAGGTCTCAGCCTCATTGCATTCCCTAATCTGTAGAAGATTATCACAGAAAGACATGTGGAGTTAAAAATTCCATGGTTGCTTTGTTTATTCGAGCAGAGGTCACCATAAGGAACTTCGATTATTCAAGACCAATATCTCATTGTAAGTTCCTTACATCTGTAAAGTTAGCACTCAGGCATCCTGAAGCATTAGACTCGCCTTGGCTGAACTGAGTAGGGTAAGACTCCTTGTCCCAGCTAGGAGACTTCCTGACTGCAGCAGATGATTTCCTGTTGATTTCGTTTCACTTAAACTTTAATTTTCTCAAACTATTGATGCAGTCCAAAAACGATTGGATTGGCATGCCTCAAAGTATCTAAAATTCATTTGTTAATTAAAGATCAAGAAATTAACCAGTGGCTCTTTTAAATCTATTTTTATGATTGGGTTTATCCTAAACAAGTCTAATCTTGCCTCATAATGTTCTCCAAGATCAAGGGTTTAATGCTTACAAGGATTAACTAAACTCCTTTCCTAGTCTTGAAGAACGCTTACCGACTAAGCTTCCTTGCAATGCTCAAGGCCTAGCAAAATATAACTGGACCCTACTTACATAGTTAAATCCAAGATAAAAAAATTGGGCTGTAGTATGCGACAGAGAGAATTAAGAGAAGACTCTCTCCTATCCATCTACAAGTTTTTCAGTATCTCAACTCTTCAGATACTGATTGTGCATAAAGTGCATCGTTTAATGAGTCAACATGACTCCTTTAGAATTTCCTGTAGTGCCTCTTACTTAGATTATGTTGCATCATATTCCAGAAACTTGCTTCTACACCTTATCATACAAGATATCCTCTTATCTTACAGAATCCTCCTGAACTTAGGAGCCAAGTTCGAGGAACTCCTCCCAACCCATGATGAAAGAGTGAGGCCTTGTCTTAGATCTGGAAATACTCCAGATTGCTATTCCCTTGATTTTTAGTAGATTATCCAAAATCCTGAGGTACTTCTCAGCTTGCTTGAAGTCTTCACAGACTCCTAGCTCGCAAGAGCTATGGTCTGCTACATATTCACATGTAGAAAGAGTGTTAGTCATGTAGACACCTAAAGCTACACTATCTGCAATGACTGCTCCATAAAATATGAATACCCACATGGAGCGATTATAGCCTATAATATTCACTTAAGCTCTGTGTGTTACACCAAAAACGAGAAGCGACTTGGTAAAATTGAAGCTGGTTTTCTTGACATCCCCATGAGTCCGGAGTGTCCATTCATGTTAGCTACCTCAACATGCAAACTTGGCCAATCTATGTAAGTTTGAGGTTCTCCACCAAAAATGGTTGTAATATCTTTTAGGAGACCAATAAGAGGCCTTACTAATCACTCAAGTTGTATTTTATAAGAATTTCAGTGATAATCTCAGCTTTCCAGTACAGATCCTTGCCAAAGCTGTCAATATTAGCTAATCTCTTGTATCCATTGAAAGGAGGACGAATTCTTGCCCATTTGGTCTAAAGTGTGTCTTATTAATCAGCCCAGTCATCTTCCAAGAAACGAATCTATGAAATAACCCTGTCCAAACTGTTAAGAGCTTAAGCTCTTGAAATCCCTGGAGGAGATCTGGCTATTTGGGAGATATTTTCAATAATCTTACGATTACTCCTTTCTGTAAAATCTTTTCAATTGAATCAACTCTAACATTTAAAGGATTCAACTACTACTCAAGGCCACAAATCAATAATGCCAATCACTCAGTGTATTCTAAATATCCGAAAATTCTTGCCCAAAATAAATCTCAGCCCTATTACAAAAATTTATCAGACTGTGCTCACCGATAAATTTATTTAAATTTTAAATTCCTTCAATTTCCATTTTCCTCGCCTAATTTCTGGTTTTTGCCAAATTTCTTCTATTTTTATAGACTAAAGTGTTTAAATTGCCTCCTTGATAACTTCAACGCTCATTGTTATCTGTGCCAAGGGGAAAAGCCTAGCTGAAGGCTTGGGTTCAAGGAGCTGACTCGAACAAAGGCTGCGAAGAGACTGGTTTGAATAGATTGGTCTATGAAGAGACTTTTGGATTTTATGGCAAATTTTTCAAGCCTGATGGCTAGGAATTCGGGACAGATGGTCATAAGTGTGTCGGAAAAATTTATAAAAATGGTGTAAGGATAGTCAAAGATAGGTACTCTAACAACTATCGATGGAGAATGTCTTAATAGGACTCAATATCTCTAAACTTCTTAGCTAAATCATCAAAAATTCATTCTAAATATTCAAGATATAAATTTTAGAATATTACAGCCAGATTTGAGGCTTTGGGGTTTTGGGGTTTTGGGGTTTTGGGGTTTTGGGG